CGGGCCGTTGCTCCTACCGCCAGCCCGTCCTCCTCCCTTTGCCTGGGCAGAGGCGCGGGTCGGGGCCGCGCTGTGACTCGGGACAGCAGGGCGGTCAGCTGGAGGGGAGCGCGCGGCTCTGAGCTCCTGCGGGCTCCTGCAGGCTCGAGACCCCCGTTTGCCAACCCTGACTTAAATAACTCCTGTTCTGGATGCATCTGGGAGGGAAGCATGCGTTTAATAGCGCTGCTGATGATTAGCAAGCCATGGTGAGGTTTCTGAGAGCAGCCAGGGACTGCCGGTGTCGGCGGGGAGGGCAGAGGGACGGGGATTTCCAGCAGGCGAGGCTTCCAGATGGCTGGGGGTACTTAGCGCCTTCTGGTAATGGGCATCTTCTTGGCACCTCGCGCACGTAAGAATGGGAGCAGTGTGCATCAGTCCTGCTTCTGAAGATGGGATTCTTCCAAATACCCTAACGCTAATTCACAGATACACTAATTACTAGATATTCACTGCATGCTGAGTGCTTTTTTACTCGTTAGGTTCCTTGCTTCACTCTCCGCATTCAATTCTAACTTTTATTAGTCTAAGGTTAAACTTTCCAATATGTAGGTTGTCCAGTTTGCTTTAATTAGAAGACCCCTCTGTGTCGTGGGCTTCTTTAGCCACCCAGCCAAGAAGCTGATGGGACGTTGTTTTCCGAGACTGTGTGCACAAAATGCATGGAGTTATTTGAGGGAATCGGAAAGAAACTGCTTGTTTCTTGGTTTGGGGTGGTTTTTTTTGGAAGGAGAGAGGGGTGTCTATACTTGGTTTAAACACGTCTTCAAGCTATAATGAATGTTTCCTAGCCAAGAAGATTCTACAGAGGGATGTGGGGTGTGATTACAGGGCAGGGAGGAAAGCAGTGCATGCATATCTGCGGGAGCGTCCAACCGCTGGATTTCTGCGTCGGAGCTGACTTGATCTACAGCCAAGCTGAACGTTCAGCGGCTCCCCGAGTTGTGGCCTCTCCCGTGAAATGCCGTGTTCGTGCTGTAGGAGGTAGGCGAGTGGGTCTGCTTCATCCTGCTTGGCAAGAGAAGGGAAAATACAAACTAATAATAGGATTTCAGCAGACAGGGGGAGGAGGCAGGAAGATGCCACGAGTTTTTACACTTGCAGTGAGCTTTCTTCTGTTTTTTTAACTTTGGCTGTTTCTGTTGTGAAATTGGAAACTTTATTATATAAGTGTGGTGTAGCTATTTCGTAATAAAATGTCCCTTTTGAGAGAGACTCAGGTTCACTCAGGTCAAAATAGTGAAAATGAGCTACTGAAGGCAAAATGGGGAGGGCGGGTCATGGTCAAGGTGAACCTAAAACCTGAAATACGCGGGCTGACGATCTGCGTTCTGAAGTACCAAAGCTGATTGGAAATTGCGGCAGGCGTCTTTAATAGATCTATCAAATCCAGACATACTGACAGGTGATACTGCCCGTGACTGGAGCATGCAAATCTAAGCAATTCATGTACCCACAAATGTTTATTGTATAATTTTACAGGGGAGTTAGTTTGGCACCAACACGCAGCCGGCTCAGTGCAGAGAATGCATCAGCCACTTCCCGCACCCAGTAATGCAGGTCTTGTTGGAAAATAGGCAAAGTCAAGCTGTGACACCCGTCTGGCTGTGGAGCAGCCCGGCTTCTGTGCGCTCAGCCAGGCTCCGTGGGAAACAAGTGCCCAAAACGGCGGAGGGCGTTACGTGTTGGATCCACACAGCGAGTTGACTGTGGGCTGGAGATGAATACCGCCAGTGGAAGGGCAAAGCGATATTGACTGTAATTCTAGATTCATCCCTGTGCGTTTGCAGGATAAATAAGTTAAATTGTGTAATGTTCCTCATTGTGGTCTCTGAAACCCAGGTTGGGTGATCCATGGACAAACATTGACCTCAAAGGAAAAAGCAGCAATTCTGAAACAGGATGAGGGTTTCTGTACTGTATGTGTTCATGTTTATAATCACGCATTTGATTTTGTTAAGGATTTGTAGAAAATTAAAGGAAATCAAAATGCTAGTTTACTTTTAAACTTCACTGTCACAGGCAGATTGGAAGAGGAGGCCATCTGTATTTTGGGTTTAATGTTTAGAAATGCAAAAAACGGAGCCCAAATGTGGATTGGCAGCATGGTTGATGGTGTCTCTTCAGGTCCTGGAGCAGGAAGGATGTGAGACAGGATTTCTGAAGTGGGGTAAATAGGGGCCCTGGGGCATTTCTTGTGCTGCAGGGCTGTTTCATTTTAAAAATAATATGTAGAATTAAAATGCACAGGGTTTTGTTAACTCCACTGCAGAGCAAAGAACGGCAAGTCTGGTGTTTGGCAGGGCAGCCAGGAGAGGGCAGATCTCCAAGGGGGCAAATGGTGTTTAAGACGGGCATGACCAGGAGCCCGTTGTGCTGCCAAGGTCCACTCACGCCATTGTCAGCTGAGAGGAGGAACGAAAAACCCTACAGGCATGAGAGCGATGTGAAAAATGCAGTTAGATAGCAGCAGCATCAATAGGTTGCTGTGGCTTTGTTCTCTGTGGGACGGATGTGAAAGCCTTTGCGGGGGATCATCAGGATCCGCTTGGGCGCAGGGGTGGAAGGTTTGGGGACAGGTACTTCTGGATACCCGTCGGGATCGGGTTGGTCACTTGGTTTAGGAAGAGAGGAGAAGAATAACTCACTGCTTCCTTTCCTGGGAGAAAGGATTAAGATGCATATGTGTGGAGTACTTGGAAGTCATGCAGTTTTATTCTTCCTTCCAAAACGTAATTTTCTTTCAGAAATGCATGTTGTGAGCATAACAGAGTCTCAACTCTTCTTCTTTTTGTCTTCCAGAGCAAGGAGATTGGCTTACAGATGCATGAAGAACTCCTGAAAGTCACCAACGAGCTTTACACGGTGAGTAATGAGCTGATCCTACCCGTGTCTAGCCCGTGCAGCGAGGGGAGCGTCGGCAATGTCATTTGTAAGAACAAAATGTCTGTTCAACGTTTTGGTGACTTGAGGACGCTCTCTCTCCCTCCTGCCATCCCGCGGTGCAACCCGTTCGTTCCTCTTGCATTTGTTAAGGACATTTCACTCTTCACTGGTTTTGACAGCAGCAGAGGAGGATTTCCCAGCGGCCCTCCTGTGGAGGGCTTCTGCGGCCACGTCAGGCAGCGGATCATGCCGTTTAACGGTTTCACTTAAGCATAAATGGAGATGTTTTGGGCATGATCCAGTGCGATCCCTGGTGTCTGTAATGCTCTCACCTGCTGGGCCTTCTACACTCTGTTGCCTTTAGGCCCTTTCAGTTTTCGCTGCGTTGGTGATTTGTGCTGAGCGTTCATGGCTCAGGAGTTGTGCTCTGAGTTGGCCGTGCCGATCTGTGGCCGAAAGCTGACCTGCTCCTGTGAGTCTGGTGGCCTCTGGATGATGGCTGAAGACAACCTTCTGCCGAGGAGTACATAAAACTTTTAGCTCCTGTGTGCTCAGCTTCATCTCCCCACTCCACGGAGCACTTTGGTTGCGGAGCTGTCTCTGTGCCTCCAGGTGACATCGTACGCTGTAATTCAGGACATCGCGCTTCAAGCAGGTTTTCATAGTAAGGCAGTGAAAGTCTTTGTGGTTTTTTGCTTTGCTTTGCTTCTGTCTCTTGCCCTGTAGCAATTGTTATTTTTTTTAATTTTATTTGTGGTTTAGGATCAACAAAGCAATATAAAGTCTGTCTTGTGTTGGAAAATTGAGGCGATATATTTGCTTTCTTTGGTTGTATCTGTTACTGCTACATTAAAAACACTGCAGTAGGTTTATTCCTAAACAATCATTTTAATTCCATCGTTTTGAAAAATAGGCCTAAACAATAGAGCACAAATGATATTATTTGAAATTTCTCCCATAAATCTTCTCTTAACAGGTTTGTTTCTGCATTAGTTGTTGAAGGATTCAGTTCTTGTGAGACCTGCAGTGTGGGTGGATAGCCAGGTTGGATGAAAATGCCTGCGTGAGATTTGGGAGTGTGGTGTTGATGGTTGAATGTCACAAGCTGTGTTAGTGGTGGTGACTAATTAGGAGTAATTACAACAGCAGCATGACAGATGCAAAACGAGGAGAGACTAGCGAGGGCTGGGCTGACCTTAATACCCGTGGACCAGTGTACTTGGAACCTGGACGTGGGACAGGAGCATCACCTGAGGGACGCGGTCCGGTCAGCTGGAGGATCAGAAGCAGGCTGAGATCCCAAGTGTGTGCAGTTGGCCAGGGGAGAGCATGGAGAGTAATTTTGCTCCTGCTGAGCAAAACTCATCTTCACTGGAGCTGAGATTTCCCCCCACTCACTGCTTCGCTCCCACACGCCGAGCGGAATGTGTTTGAATGGTGGAACAGACTGGAACAGCTGGAAGAGCTTTGTGTTTCCTGAGAACTGACCTTGCTGCTAAGATAACGAACCGATTGTGTCATGCAGCTGGGAACGAGCAGGGGGAGATGCTTATTTCAAAAACAATGATGAAACGTGAAGGAAAAGCAGGTCCTGTCAGGAGAACCAGATCATCTTCAATCTGGTCAGTGCAAACCAGCTCCCCTCCAGTTGGTAATTTTCTGTCCTTGAGGCATCAGGTGGAACAGGCTGGGTTGCCTACGTGGCTTGCAGGCACATCCAGCGTGCGGGAGGTGTTCTGGGACACCTTCAGGACTGACCTGGAGTTGGCGTGTTCATTGCAGCGTGTTGGGAACCCAAAGCAGCACATCCAGTAACCGTGGCTGCTGACAGAATCTCACACAGAATAAGGACCCCCGGCTCAAGGGACACCAAGCTGCTGCTTGTAAAATGTTGTTTGTCTGCTGTCAATGCAAGGAAGTCGTTTATCTTGCCTATGGCCAAGCCTTCATCCGTAGTACATCTGTGCCCTGCCCAGCCTGCTTTTTAAGGCTTTCAAAGGGGAATTCTGTGCAATATGTGGAAACTATCTAATTTTTTACGGGCTTCTCAGGCATTCACTGTCTCAAACTGAAGCCGAAATAATTAAATTGGTTTTAATTCAGCCTTGCTGCTGTTCTGATGCAAGCAAGTCGCCCTGTGGACTCTGTGCAAAGAACTAAACCCCAAAACCACGCTGATTTTAATTAAAAAGGAAGGAGATGACTTTCGTTCTGAAGTAAGAGTTGCTTGCGAACAGTTTTGCACAGAAATAACTTAGCAGTGAATTAAAGCCGGCTTCATTCTATTGATTCCTGGCTGGAGGCTGCTCCAGCAGACAGATAGCAAGTTGGAGTCTGTAGAGGCTGGAGGTGCTCTGCTCTTCCGCTGACAGGTCCCTTTCTCTATTGTATGCGTTCCTGTCTGAAGAAGTCAGACCAAAATTGGGGTATGAAAAACAGTAACCCCAGAGCATGGTTCTAGGAGTGTTTTCTGTAAGCTCTGGCAATGGTGTGCCGTTAGGTGCACGGCGCTAACGACGGGCTCTCTGAGGTATGGCTTCGTTTGCCGTAACGCAGGGACATGGCCTCAGCTGAAGGCAGCACCTTCAGGTCCATAAAAGTAGTGTGATGTGAACCAGTGCGAGTCTTTGTCACGAGGTGGCACGGATGAGGATTAATAACTGTGAAACAAGTAGTATTAATTAGCATAATATCTACAGATACATCACCCAGGTTAAAAATAACACTAATAGTCGTCATTCCCTGTGTGGCAGGACACAAAGTGGCTGGAGGAAGTTCTCCCTTTCCATGGGGAGCGTGCGATGGGGGAGGCCGTACCTCCGCGTTCGCGGGTGTTTTCTCCGAGTGTCACGCTGTAGAAAGCGTTGACTGTATCGCACGGTAGAAACGCACTGATACGGTGCTCTGTATCACACTGTAGAAATCCTCTGAAAAGGACACGTTTGCTTTCATGTGTCTTAAAGACCAGGGAGATGGAGGTCAGCATCCATCGGTCTGATGGATTTGTCCCTTTCTCAGACCCTACGCTGTGGCTGTCCCTGAGGTTGTGCAAGAGGCTCCGTCCGAAGAGGAGGGGGCTGGTGACTTTGGCAGGCTTTTGCCTATGGCCACGCTCGTCTCTGCTCCGCCCTCCGCGCTGCGCTTATGTTTTGGTCTCCTCGACTTCGGGAGGGCCTGAGCCTGCGCTTAACACGGGTCACCCGGTTTCTGATCTGGCTTCTCTGCTGGGTCAGAACCTCAATGATGAGCTGTTCAGGAATATAAAGCGCTTCTAGCTGAGGACGGCAAACAGTGCCGTTTATGGCTGGTATTTTGGCAATGGCCTTTATCCAGAACGTGTTATTAATATTGGAAAACACAACTTATGTTGTTAAATAACTAATGAACATTGGAACATATTTTTCTCCCTCCACTGCAGCTAATTAACTTATTTGCAGAAGAGATCCCGGGGACGCAGCTGTGGCAGTTTTTCTTCATGACACAATAGCGTAAGGCAGGGACAGCGTGACTCGATTGCAAGTGCCGAGAAGGCACGAGGGAATTGCGGATCAAAGGGCTGAGAGCTGCAGTGCAGGTAGTCCCCATTCAAAATGAAGGCAGATATTAAACCAAACAGAAATATCCCTGAACTTCCAAGTGCATGACAGCTGGTGAGGAACCCGGTCGGCACAGTGAGCCGTTTCAGCAGCATGGATGCAGAAGTCTGGGGAGAGTATTTTAACATGATCACGTTGGGTCCTTTGCACTTTATTAGAGAGACTTTCAGAGGAGTTTTAAAGCCGGTTCCCATGTCGCCCTTTCAAGTTCAAGCAGGGATAAATTATTGAGGAGGAAAAAGGGCCCTGGTGATTAGCAAATAAGTCAGTCGGAGCCTGTGCAAAGGTACCGGGCGGCGGTGGGGCTGGGACCCCCGTGGCGGTGCTCTGCGCGGTGGGTCCTGCCCCACGGCAGCGCGTCCCCAGGCCTGCGGCAGAGCGGCGACACCTTGGGCGAATGGAGACCGCCGAAGAATCGTGCTGATGTTTTTCTGGTTGGGTAACCTTCTCATAACCTTTAGGTTTCACAAAAATCGAGCAAGTGGGACCAGTGTTTAATTGTTGGGCTTTTCTGTTGCGGGGCGTTAGGGCCCCTCTGGGGGCTGGTGAGACCTCTCCCACTACTGCCCGACGGCGCTGATGTGCAGGACTTGTCTTTTTCACGTTCCTCTGAGTTTTTCACAAAATGATGGAGACAGTGAAGATGAGGGCTCAGCGAAGCCCTCTGGTCTTTCTCCTTAGGAAAAATGCAGAAATTGTCTGGTTTGTGTGTGTCCTGTGATGTTCACTGCAGAAACTGCAGTTTGAAATGTGTGGCTCAAATCTGTGTTAGAATTTGCAGGATTTTGAAATAAAGCAGCTCAGAAACAAGGCAGAAGCCTTTACTTACTATTCCTTGCAGTCCCCTAAAATTGTAACTGCCCGCGATGGCACATTTGTGCAGACTTTGGTGCAGCATTTGGAGCTTGTTTGCTGCTGACGTTTGTGCTTGGCAAGAGGAGAGATCATATGTTTCAGCCTAACCTCATCCAAGTTAAACACTCCTGGGTCCTGGCTGACAACAGCAGCTCTGGAAAACTCTGTATTTTCTTCATTAAGGCTTGTGCAAAGTTACTCTGCTTTTGTGGGTTCCTGCTCCTTTTCAGCTCGTGGGCCTGGAGGCGACCCCGTCCCGGTGCCGCTGCTGGTGGTGGCCCGGCACTGCGCGGAGACTGATCTGCAGCGAGAAGTCAGTCGTCTCCAGCCGTGTCAGGGCAATGTGAAACAAAACATCCAAATCCTGAAGGGAGATGATAAAAGGGGACAACGTGACTAAAGGCATAAAGAGAGAAGAGTAGATGTGTTCCTCTTGCCAGCTCCATTAAAATGCTCACAATGTGCCCTTTGGGCTTTTGTATCTGAAAGAGAAGGCTGTGGTAGAAGTTTTGCCTGCAGGAGTTTTCCTGGCAGTAGATCAGCATCGTCTATCCAGAATCACTGATGGCGATCTTGAATTTAAAGGACTAGGTGTTGCTGCAGTCCGCCCTGGCACTGACCGTGCCCAGCAGCAGCAAGAGGAGAATTAAGTGGTGGTAGGAGACAAACTCCATTTCTGCTTGGAAATTGCAGCTCCTCCACCTTCAAGGTGGGATCTGCTGTCAGGATGGTAGAGATGGGGTTATGGTGGTGGGTTGGCTTAGCAAGTTCAAGCGTAGGAACAGAGGGGTTGGGTCAAAAGTGACTTCAGGTTGACTTTGGCCTCCTCGCAGTCTCTTACCATGGAGACCCTTATCCCAGCTGCAAAGGACTGGGATAAGTTATTTCTCATTTCCCTGCAGGAAGATACACAGTGCTCTCTGAACGCAGGTGTGTGCTGGAGGCACATCTCAGCCTGTCCCTGCAGTGGGGACGACGGTTCTTCCACCAGCTCTGTGCCATTTCCAAACAGGGCTAGTGCTGGGTTTCGTTTTACGGGCTTTTCCTTCCCACCTTGTTGCTCCTTAATGCCTCAGTGGCCTCAAACAGCCCTGGCACAGCTGAGGCTGTTCCCCACTGCCCACGGCTGTCATCTCCTTGTGCACTGATGCTTTGTGTGGCCGTGGGGCAGGCGACTCACAACGCTTCCGTTTCCTCAGGTGATGAAGACCTACCACATGTATCATGCCGAAAGCATCAGTGCTGAGAGCAAGCTGAAGGAGGCGGAGAAGCAGGAGGAAAAGCAGTTCAACAAGTCAGGGGACATCAGCGTGAACCTGCTGCGGCACGAGGACAGGCCTCAGCGGCGGAGCTCCGTCAAGAAGATTGAGAAGATGAAGGAGAAGGTGGGTGGGAGGGAAGGACGGGGGAGGTGGGCTGGGGTGGGGCCGCGTCCCTGGGGCGGGTCAGGGGGGATGTCGGCTCCTCTCTGAGTTTTGCTGAAGGGAAGTCCAAGGGGGCCATGATGGGTCTCCTCACTGCGTCCTGGCTGCGGAGAAGTGCCAAAACCACCTGCTAGCGAGGATTTGACCCAAAGTCGGGCTGGCATTGCTCAGCAAGAAATGAGGATGGGGGATATCGGGCAGTGCAGCTCTGGAGGGGGTGTTGGACCCCCATGGGAGCCACGTGGCCACCCGTGACACCTTCCAGGCTGGCTCTCTGGAGGGAGGGCTGAGAAGGGCGGCTGGAGGGGCCGCCGAGGCTCACGGCTCCGAGGACACACGGCAGAGACCGGCGGTGCAGTGCCCGTTCACCGACTGCTCGCGCCGGGCCCCGGGGCTCGGCGGGGACCGAGGGGCTGCGCTGGCACTGGGGAGGGCAACGCACTGGTGTGGCCGGCTTGGCGCAGCGATGCCTTCTGACCCGGACACGGGACCCTGCTGCCGGGGGCTGTGGTTTGTTCAGGACTTATTTTTTAGAAAAAGCGCTCTTAACAATGAACAATAGCTGTCGCAGCGTTCCTTCAGTCAGAGACACGTGGCAGGCAAAAAAAAGGGTCAGATATATAAAATAACAGTGTTTCTTCCTCTGCAGACTGTCTGGGAGTTAAGTGCAGCGTTTAGTTGGCTTTGCTAGTCAAAACACTTAACTCCATTCTGGCTTCAGCAAATCCCCCCAGATCTCAGGCTCTCCAAAACTGTAATTTTTCTGTTAAGTCCGGAGAAAAAGCAATAGCTTCCCCAGCGGGGACACGTTTGCTCGCATGTTGATCCAGGACTGGGTCGTTGTCTAGCAGCATGCTTCTTTGAAGGGTTAATCCTTTGCGCTAAACCTTTAGACTAGTGATCTGCCTGAGCAAATGCCCCAGATCTGAGCACATCTGCTTTCCTACAGAGTCTTGAATTCTGGGTCCTGTTCTGAATTTTGTAGCGTGGGCCTCTGGGCCAGATTCCACTTTGATACAGCTGCATAAGTCTGGAGTGAGTCCAAACGTATGTCAGCATATCTGGGAGGAAAAATTTGGCCCTCTAATTTTGATTGATGCCAAAACCTCCGCGAACGCACAGATAAAGGAAGAGCAGCTGTGCTCGGGATGCGCTGGGTACATCTGAGCAGAACGCGCTCGTTGTGCCTTGGCTGACGGTACCAGGGGTGTTCAGCTGTGATCTCCTCCATCCTGGCAAGGGTGCCTGTTTTCATAGCCCATACCAAATTTATTAATTAACACGTCACACCCAGGCTGCAGGGTGCTGTGGGGCCCTGCAGCAAGAGAAGCTGTGAAAGTAGGATCCTGTTTGTGCTCTGACACTCCCTTTTGCTTTTTCAGAGACAAGCCAAATATTCTGAAAACAAGCTGAAGTGTACTAAAGCCAGGAATGACTACCTGCTGACCCTGGCAGCCACCAACGCAGCTGTCAGTAAATACTACATCCACGACGTCTCTGACCTCATTGATGTAAGTGCATCCTGCCCGTCTACGGATAAGCGCACAGCTAAGTCTCAAGCATGGTTTGGTCCTTAAATGCACTCTTATGTGGTGGTAATGAAGGGGTATTTGGTGGGGCTTTAAAATATGCTTAATGGGGGCCTGAAAATGTGCTGTAAATTTGGGTATTTTTTTTCTTTCCCTGTAGTGGTGTTTTTCCTCCCAGCTACGCACAGACATTTGACTTTCCTCCCAGTTGATGTAGGCATATATGAGCAGAGCTAGTGCTGCCATTGTATGGGAGTCATAGAATCATGGGATAGTTTAGGTTGGAAGGGACCTTCAAAGGCCATCGAGTCCCCCCCCAGCCTTGGGCAGGGCCACCTCCCCCCAGCCCAGGTTGCTCCAAGCCCCGTCCAACCTGGCCTTGGACACCTCCAGGGATGGGGCAGCCACAGCTCAGGGCAACAGTCAGGGTCAGACTCCTCTGAACTTTATGGTGGCCACGTGATCACACAACAAAGTAATGGATTCAAGTTTATGCCACATATAAAGTTCTTTCATCGGTGTTTGGAAAAAAATATGGAGTTTTTCATTATAACTGCAGGGTATGAACCAGCCTGAACCAAACACTTTCCTGAGCTCATAAGCAGGGGAGTGCGGGTTGAACTGTGTGGTTGAGGCACATCTAATACACAGTTACAAACCAGAAATCACTTGAATGCTTTCTGCACCTTTCACACTGTGTCCTGAGCGTGCTGAGGTCTGGTTGTCCCTGGTGTATGTTGGCTCTGCCCTCAGGACCACACGCACGGTGCTTTCCTTCGCATTAGAGCAATGGCTTCATCTGCTGGGGCTCCCACAGGGCAGGATGTCCTCCAGCTGGAGCTTCTCAGAGTCCTGAGCCTTTGGGGGAGAGTTTGCCTTGGGGCAAGCCAGGTGAGCCTGAGGTCTCCTCCTGGCCCATCGATTAGTCTGCATTTGAAACAGATAAACTCTTATGAAGATCAGATACATCCTTGGGTTTGTTGTTGAAACAGAAGATTTTCCTTTCTAATCCGCCCACCTGCAGTTTCTGTCGGTATGAGCAGGCACCGGCGCTCCTCGGCTCTGGTGGCAGTTAGGCACACGGGGCAGCGCTTTCCTGCCAGGGCGGGCGCTTGCAGAGTTGTATGGAAGTGCTCATGGCATAAAGTGGCCTCAGGGCAGGAACTGCTGGAAGCAGTTTTCCTAGCGATGGTAGGAATTGGGACTCGTGTGTGTATCGGGGACTCCTGCAAACTGCTTTTAAATGATTCAAGAGAAGGGATTTCCATTTCTGCCTTTAATAGGTGTCTTCACAGTGGTACACATTGTGCTATGCAGTTTCTTCCTGCTGGCGTTCCTTCAATGAGCACATAAATAACCGATCTATAAGTACCGGGTTAGTCTTCTGGCTTCGTCATTACCTAAATGTGTAATCTAAAAACGTGCTGGAGTGTTTATCTCCTTCACTAACCCACTAACGTATATTTATTCTTCTAAGCAGTAATTAAAGTAAACCTGATGCAAACCCCCTGATGATTTCAAGATTTTGAGATACAATAAAATATTCTCAGTATGCCCTTTTTGTTCTCTTTATTATTTAAGATGTATTTAGCCATATTAAAAATACAAACTAATAACTTGATCATGGAGACATTTGAACAGCAAGGTAGGATAGCACCTTGATTGATCTGTGGGGTTTCTTCTTTTTGTTGTGTATATTTTCTCTCCCACATTCATTTTTTAAGGAAGAGTGACTTATTTTCATGGAGTTTTGGGGACTTTGATTTTCTGGAGGGTTGCCAAGTTCCATTTTAGTTCTGGCTGTTTATATTATTCCTCCCAACTTTAGTTCCTTGCTGATGCTTCCACTGGAGTCAGCAGATGGCTTTTCTTCCGCACTCCAGGAATCTCTTCAGGGGACTTTAACTAAAACGTCTGCAACTCTGTGCAGCTAAATTGCCCTAATTGTATATTCTTTTCACCAAAGAAAACAAAATATAGGATGTGTGAGCTGCACACGGGTGTCCTAATTTTAAATCCCCAAAGGAAGAGCAGTTTATTTGAACAGACTTTTAACAAATTCAATATATTTTGCAAGAGCATGGCAAGAAGGGTTTCAGCACGCTCCCGGAGACGGGGGTCCCATTCACTGTGTCCCACTTGTACTGGAAGTGATTGAAAGAGAAGACAGCCGTCGGGTCCAACAGCGTTGCGCTTTCTGGCGGCGTGTAATCCACGTAAAGGAAAATGAAGAAAACAGACATTTTTAGATGTAGTTATTAAGTTAGTGTTTTAATCTCGGTACATTTAACAAAGATTAGAAGACGGTGCCTCTCACTCTCGGGAACGGCAGTGCTGTGGCGAACAGCGGGTCCATCCCGTGGCAGTACGGAGGAGGGGGGTCCTGCGCCCCGTGGGGCAGCTCTGCGCTTGCACGGGCGCAGCAGCGCGGCTCGGAGCGGGGAAGGTGCGTGCTGCCCGTGCGCGAGAGCTGGCAGAGCCCTCGGCTGCAGCAGCGTGAGCGGCACGGGGCGCCGCAGGGCGCCGGCGCCTGCCCGACGGGAGGAGCGGGTCTGCAGGCAGAGATGAGCACCGAGGGGCTTCATGGTCAGAACAGAGTTCTGGATTAGCTCAAAACCTGGCTGGCCACCCTTTAGTAGGGTCCTGGCAGTGTCCGTATTGCACTTACGCGAATTCTCCCAGCTCCTCCACCCTGCGTCACCGAGGGGGATGATTAGCGCTGTACCCGCCTGTCTTTGTGGGACATCGGAGGGGTGATGGGGAGTCTCGCGCGCCCTTCCTATCAAGCACAAATTGCCATGTGCAGTTTTTTGATTTGTACGCAAATCTGAACCGTCAGGACACTGAAGCAGCTAATTCAGCAGCATTTCCCCCAAATCCCAGATGGCTCAGTGTCATCTCTCAGGCACAGCCTTGACATTTCTTGTGCCCTCGGCGTCACCGCAGAGTAGTGACTTTTATAACAAAGCCGTTCTGCTAATCTCCCGCTCCGGCGAGAAGGAAGGTCCCAGCTGCTCTGGGAGAGGGCGGAGGGCTCTCCCAGCGCTGCGGTTTTAATGAGAAATGTAAAACTCGATCAGAGGAGCCGTGAAGTGGCACAGAGCGTGTCTGTCCCTCCCTCTGTCTCCAGTGGCCTTTTGTTTTGTCCTTTAGCAAGGAAGAGAAGAATATAGAGACAGATCAAATTGGACTTGGACTTAAAGTACACCATTGTGCCTCTTCCCTCAAAAGAAGCATGTGTTTATATTAAAACGCCTGGGTTTTCTCTCGTTCCTGTCATTAACTATGTGGCCAAGTTAATCTCTTTGGCCACATATGTGAAGTGGAGATAAAGCTGCTTATCCATCCCTCTGGAGTTCTGTGTGAAATGGCTGCAAAATATTTTGAAGTGGTCACATGAAAGATATCCCTAGATTTAGCAGAGTGAAATGTAACAGTCGGTGTCTATACGTACTGATCCACCGAAACTTGTTCAGCCTCCTGTAAATCCCTTTGAAACAGCAGCTTGCTCCTCTATGGATTAGTGTGTTCGCCATATCTGAGACAAACAAACAAGTAAAGGAGGAGAGTTCTGAGGATTTAATATTACACGTTACTGCTGAATTGCTCAGTCCCTGGAAAACTTAGCTGATGGCGTTGTCATTTTACGCATGGTCAAGTGATGCTTAGTCCAGTTAGGAAACAGAAACAGCAGTCAAAATTGTTGTGCCAGAAATCTTAGGTTCGCTTTACTTACCTCACAGTAAAGCTCTAGCTTTTGTGGCGATGTCAATAGAGTAGAGGCCAGAAAATATATGTATACATGCATAATATATCTTTAAAGAAAGAGTAAAGAACAAATGAGGAAAAAGGGAAGAGAGCAGATCAAGTAAGGGAACTGTTTGTTTCCAGCTCGCACTGGGTACTGCGGAGCCCGGCTGCTGTACCTGGCGAGGGAAGCAGTGGATGGCAGACTCGCGGGGACGCTCGGGTTTTACTGCGGGATTTGCCTCTTGCCGCGCTGAGAGAGGCGGTCCCGACAGCCTCATGTGCGGGGTTCAGCCTCCCGAATAAGAGGGAGACCCGGAGGGGCTGAAGCCACAGACCACTTTATCAGGATCAACTTTTAGGTGTCTCCTGCAGCTCATGTCGTCGTCGTTTCCATCAGTGGCTAATTCCTGGGCACGTCTGTGCCGGCAGAGCCAGCGCCGGCAGCGGCTTCTCTTTGTGCGGCGCTTTCCGCGTGTGATTGCATGGCGACGTTCCCCAGCCTGGGTAGCTCTGCGTGATGCCACTGGCTTTAATGAAGGAACACTGATTTATACAAGCAGAGGGGCTCTTCTGGGGGTTTGCTCTGTTGTTTGAAGCAATTTTTCAAGCATAAAGAGCCTTTTAGTTCTACAAAGGCACAGAGTTTTCTCCCACTCTATCCTTTGAGTGGGCTTTCTGCTGGATACCAGGGTCCTGCCAGAACCAGGTATGTTTTTTCATGGAAACTCCATGCAAAGCATCACTGTCACCGCACCGTCATGCGGAGCGGCGTCTGTAACTCAAAACTCGTGCTCTCCCAGGGAGCAGTGCCTGTACCGCAGTTTATCGTGCCATGTGTCTGCAGCTAGGACATCTGGCTTCAGGGTATTTCAAATAAAGTCAACAATGCAGCAATAAAAAGAATAAACAGTTTCCATCAGGAGGAATTAAGGTGTCTCAAGAGGCTCAGTGCTCTTTGCTGCACGGCTGCTCTGTCCCTGTTACCTGGTTTCCCGCAGAGGCGGCAGTTTGGGAATGCCACCGGCAGCCTGCAGCACCCGAGCCTGTCATCTCTCCCTGCCGCTGGGCAGGGGGCTCTGGGAAATACAAAATATGTGTTTTTAGGAGGTGCTGTCACTGACTTTACTGAGAGCTGTGACCTGAGGAACTTGGGGTACCGCACAGGCACCTGCGTGCACGTCCTTTGTGGTGGGAGGCTGCAGGGGATGCCGGCGGCATCCGTGATGTCCATT